TCTGTAAATCTTAATTTGGCACTGATTATTGTAACTACATATAACTGATTTGAAGTACAGTGATTAGTTACTTATTTGTATGCTTTCTTGTACTTGTCTGATAAATATATAAACATAAGTACATCTTTTAATGAAATAATTTCATTGTATACTTTACTTTAGTTCATCATTTGCTAATATAATTCAAAAAAAAATTATCCACCTTTTTCTTACCCTTTTGGCCATAAAAAAGCAGGGACTTTAAAAGATATTTCTTTAACTGATAAAGAGGGTTGGTATAATCATAAAAAGTCAAACTTTAAAATATTTCAAATGTGATAACAACATACATAAGATAATTAAATTATAGAATCATCAAAGTAGATCTGGAAGAAACCTCAGAGGCCAGCATGATTGACTCTGAATCACTTGGAAAGAACAAAATTTCATCTTACAATAAGTAAAATGACACATTAGGTTATCCCACATGATCTCAGAACTAAGAGGCTGTGTCTATATAATGTCATTGTATTCAGTTAATTCAGTCATGGGGCTGTTTTCCATCATGTAAATAAGAAACTATATTTCTTAGTAAATTGACTATGTTTGAAATGAATATCTTGTTGAATCATTTGATCATGTTAAATTCTGAAAACATCAGTCCCAAAATATGATTTTAATTTTTTCATATGAACACAATACAATGTGAATTAAAATTATAAGCTTATTGGTCCTTTTGGTAAGACATGGAGATTACATCTATTCAATTAAAATGTGAATAAAAAGTCAAAACTTCAATGAATCACTCAGATTTTTTTCTTGACACAAAATAAATACATCACTGAATTTTAACTGAACTAATTGAATTAAGTGGCTATTTTGGCACTCTGTAGACAGTGCCAAAGCCTCCGAGATGGCAAATAGAGCCTGAAATAAAAGTAGCTATGGCAAATATTAACATTAAGTGATTTCTGTAATGTAAGAACTATTTTAAACTACAGTTGTTGAATTCTCAGGAAAGGAAACAGATTTGTAACAATGATAACATTTACTTCAATGCCTAATTTGCACTCTTCTGGGATTATTTTAATTTTATTTTCCAAATCTAAAAAGGAGAGCTTCAAGTTAAGACTGCATGTACATAACAGAAGGAAAGAAAATAATCTTCACCAAATCAGATCTCTCTTTCTAGATGATACCTAATATTTATATATTCAGATAGATCTGAGTGAATGACATTTGGAGTTTTCATTGTTTCATTCAACAATTTATATATATATATATATATATATATATATAAAACTATGAATTTCTAGAACAGGCCAGAGGCTTATTTGGATTGAGTCATGAATATGTGTGTATTTATACATACACATACATGTATATATGTGTACTATATATGTAAGTCACTATAATATATACATGTGTGTGTGTAGTGTATATACAGAGAAATATACACGTGTGTGTGTATGTGTGTATGTATGCCTACCTTCAAACTCACTAAGTCCGCTAGTTCCCATAGGATATTTAAGTTTATATTTATACATTATTAAACTGTGTCTAGACAAAAGACTAAACATACACATTTGATTGTCAAGCATTTGTATAAAATTGTAAGAAATTATTCAGGTATTCTGAAATATCTCGATATGTTGCATTAAAGTTCTTAAAACATTTGTATTTCTGACTGAATTTTCCATTTTTCTTCAGTCTACTTTTATACTGTAGAGATACAGCTCAAGTAAGAGTGAATAATAGTTTAGATTTTTTTTCTTCCAGAAACTTGCTAAATACTGGCCTATTCATACTCTGTTTACATAAAAATAGACCAATGGACATTCAAGTGAAAAATTAAATTATACAGATTCTATATTAACACAATGCCAATATGTAAGATCTTTAGTGTTGTCTATTGAAAACATCCAGAAACTGATTCTTAAAAGTCTTTTTCATATAAATAGCTGAAAATTTGTACACACAGAATCAAGTTTACTTGTCTGAGATACCATTCCATGATTTTACTTTAGAAGGATAGGCTATCGATGTTTAATTTTTTCAAAACTTCTTTCATTCCATTTTCTTTTTTATATTTTCTTTTTAAATTATTTTAAATATTTACAATACTTCATCAGACTTTTCATGTGACACTTCATTCCAAAGAAAGGGGCAAAATGAAAAACTGCATTCCATTGACTTATTTCCAACACTGTTCTTTGTTTCCCTTTGTCATTATGTTGTCTCATGATTTGTGCCATATTTCTTGCTTTAAAAAGAAATATATTTATCTTGAACCCAGAGTTAGCAAAATCTGTAAAGTGAAAATTTTGCCAAATATGAAGATTAAGATATAAATCCTGTGATATTGTGTAGGTCATAACAGAATGGGGAAAAACTGGTCATCTCAATAAGGCACAATTTAAAGAATTGGATTAATAATATTCTAACAGCAATGGAATATGGAATGAAGCAATCCAACTACTTGGTTAAGTCTTCTATGTTGGTGTTACTGTTGAAATTAAAGTTGGATCTACATGATAAAAATCAGCCCATCACAAAATAAAAAATTTAGTCAGTAACCAGTTTAGTATAGAAACGTCAAATTATTTTGACTGATAATTTTCATTGAATTTACTTTTCTAGTAGTAAACACAACTCAATCTGCCTTTTACAGTTTTACACTATTTTATATATGTATACATAGATATATATGTAAAAAAACTTATATCTCAGTGATTCCACCATTTTTGGGTTTTTTTTTTATCTTTCTTTTTGAATATTAGCTAACTAATAGTCCATTTCTGTAGCTTTTGTCTCTATAAAATACTGGAGGAAATGAAAACTTTTACTTTATTTAAAGACAAATATTTAATATATTTCAAATAGGCAATCTCCATCTTATAAGTGTCTGGAAGCTAGAATTTATATAGCTATAGCACTTTAAGGACTGAAAAGCACTTTCCATATATTATCTCACATACATTACTTCATTTCCTCCTCACAGCCTTGGGGAGGTGCTAGTATTATTCCCTTTTTACAGTTGAGGGAACTAAGGCAAAGGTTAAGTGACTTGCCCAGGATCATACTACTAGTATCTGAGGTGGGATTTGAATTCAGGTCTTCCTGACTTTATTCAGCACTCTATCTACATTGTTACCTATGTACAATATAAACTGCCCTTGCCCTAGTTTCCTAAACTACCATGATCCTTACCCTTAATACTTCATCATCTTTGAGTAAAGCCAAAGCAGCATTCATGAGAAAGGAGGGATTTTTTTAAATGAATCTTTAAAACATAACATGAAGGAAAAGGAAACTATGAAAAACTAAAACAGGCCAGAAAAGCTAATCCTGGGAAAGGCCTCCTAGTTGGTGCTGGCTCTCCATGGTGGTAGCCTGAGGAGCCATAAGACTGAGAACTAGAATGGGCCATAGTGCTTGGTTACTCAAATTTCCTCATTTTTTGGAAGAGGAAATGGATATAAGGTGACATGCTCAAGAATTCACATCCTCTTACGTTAACTCAGTGTGCTTGTTACTATACTAAAGCCCTACCATCCCCCCAGAATATATTTTCCCACAAATGCTGTATATTTTATTTATTTTCCTTAAACTGCTGGAGATTCCACCAAATTAGGAATTCAATTGAGTTACATGTATTCTTTCAAAAATGAAAATTACAGTAGAGTTGATACCTCCCATTTAAATATTTTTGTGATTTATAGTTTGAAAGTCAAAGTGGCCCTTAAGTAGAGGGCTGAGTGTGGAGTCAGGATGACCTAGGTCCAAGTCCTGCATCTGACAAATCCAATCAATAAAACCAAAAACAAATCCTTTAAACTCCCAGTGCCCCATGGCAACTCTTTCAGACTGTAAATTACATAGGAGGTGCCAGTTTGCACCAGTGGAAGAGAAATCTCCAATGGAAACAAAATAGGCCAATTAGATAGCTTTGTTCCTAACGTCTAGTTGGAGCAACATAAGAGCACTAAGGGAATGAGCTGTTACCTCTACAGAGGTAACAGCTGGTGGGAGAGGAACTCAGAAAAGGAGATGGAATGGGAACAAGACAAGCTTTTATCTATTATAAAAATTTATCTAAAGATGTCTCTTTGCGTAGGGAAAGAAAGTGATCACTATTATCCATCTTTTGCTATTTGTTTCTTTAATCTCAATCTCAGAACTAAGGCTGTTTTCACCAGCAATTCAACTATACTAAAGGTTAAACTGACCTTTGTGGGACAACTGAAGAACTCATTCATCATTTTAAATGTAGTTCCATAGGAAAATGCATTCAGCCTGCTAAACTGATTTGCAAATTTTGGGAACACAATATCAAGGACTGCCTGTACAAGATAAAGGGATCTCTATGTATTAAATTTTCTGAAGTCTGTCTAAATGACCAGATCATTTTCAACCAATTTGGACATATAAAGAAATTGTTATATTTTGTCATTCTCTGTTGTTAAAAAAAATTTTTAAAAAATAAACCAACCCACATCTCGCTGTTTGTTAAGATGGAGTTAAGACATCAATGGTTGTTTATCCTCTTGTTGTCCCCATTTCTGTTTGTAAGTGGTTTTTGAAATGTTTCCTCTGTAAAAAGATACAACATAATTATATGTCCTCTAAGTTATCATGACCATGGATTGTGAAAGAAAAATTATGTCAAAAGTGAAGGAAAGATGCAGACAGTCTGGTCTTAAAGTTGCAATCAAAGAATAATTATGGGCTTCTCAAGAATAGTGTTTTGGCTGTCCCCTACCCATCCACCAAACCTCCTCCATAAGACAAGGATCATATATTAATTCTCTATGGAACTTTATTGATCAGAAATTTAATATGATCAACAGGTGAAAAAAATCTGACTTTGTATTATTTCCAAAAATAGATAATGCTCATAGATATCTTAAGCTTACGTTAAATGTAATGTTAAAGGTATACTTTATCATACGCACTTGCAATCTTTTCATTTTAAATATTTTTAAAGGATTTTGCTAACCTGTTGTTCCCACCCTATACAGCAAGACCTACTAATCACCGACCTGCTGAAAGCTCCATCTCTACGGGCTCATCTGCCAGCAGCTTCGGCAGTGGATATAGTGTGGACAGTGAAGGAAGTAGCGGCGCTGCAGGGGAGGCTAATCTATTTCCCATTCCAAGAGTGTAAGTTTTTCTTTTTGTTTTTTTTTTCCCTTCGCATTTGACATATTTAGCAGTGAGCAAAAACCAGCATTCTTTAGTGTGAGTCATCTGCCATCATCGGACTTCCTCAAGATTTAGGGGAAATAAAGCAAAAAAATTAAAGAAAGTTTAAATGAAGACTAATTTCCCATTCTCAACAAATACTTAGGAAGCATGATGACATTGGGATTGTTTCTATGAACATGAAAGGACTGGATTGTGGCAAAGAAGAGCTGATTATTTAATGTGTCTTAAAGATAATATGGATCAATCACCACCTTGATGTCTCCAGAAGATTTGTGTTAAATAGGAAAACCATAGAAAGAATCAGATTAGCTACAATACAGTTCAATTCAAAACAAACATTTTGATATGTTTTAGTCTTATAATAGGATCATAGATTTTAGGCAAGAACATATCAGAGGTTTAAAGCTGATATAGACCTTTGAGGTCACTGAATCTAATCCCCCCTTTTTACATGAGGAAATTGAGGTAGAGAAAAGTTTGATGACTTGCCCAGGGTCACACAGCTAGTAAGTATTGGTGGCAGGATTTGAACCCTGATTTTCTTGAGTTCCATTGTAATCAACTCCCTTACTTTAAACTTGGGAAAATTGAGGCCTAGAAGAGTAGGCCATGATTGGAACGTAGGTTCTCTATGAACAAGTCCCATCATGGCTCCTTCTTTCCGCCGTGTCATCATCCCTGCAGTGACTAAGTATAATCAAAAGTAGAGTTGAAGAATATTTAGAAAAACTGGCATTAGTCCAGTAGTACTTGGCAGATATTTTCAAAATCATTGCTACTCAAATTTAAAATAATTAACACATTGTGATACTCCTTTATACTTCTGAAATAGAATTGTCTGCATATTTAAAACTGATTTTCTTGAAGAATATCACTATGCTACTTCTGGAACTATGATCCCAGGAAACATATTGATGACTCCCCTAATAGATCATACCCATATATAACATATATAAACAACAAACAGGACTGAAAATTGATGAGCCCCTCTATAAACAGGAGTTTTTAACTCTTTTTTTTAATGTCATAGGCCCCTTTGGCAGATAGGTGAAATTTATAGACCCTAGAATGAGATTTTTCAGTGCAGACAATACTTAGGATTATATGTGTGTGTATTTACATATATATGTGTGTATGGATGTCTATGTGTATGGATGTATATGTATGTGTATGTATCATATATACACACATACATATATAAATTATTTAGAAATGCAGTTATCAGAAAACTTTAAACAAGTTTCCAGACTGCAGACTAAGAACTCTTGCTATGAAATAAAAATAGAATTGATGTAAAGAAGCATAGTAGATAGATGCCATCCTCCATGTCAAGATGATCTAGATTCATAGTTCGAGAGCTGGAAGGGACATGGAGCCTATCAAATACAACTTCCTCATTTTATAGATAAGTAACTGAGGCCGAGGGAGGTTGTTGTCATGCCCTATATCACACAAGTTAGGGCAAAGGTAAGATCTAAACTCAAGTCTACTGATTCCTGACTTTTCACTCTACCAAGCTGCTTACACTCTCCTCTGTCTTTGTGACCTTAGAAAAGCCAGTCACTTTCACTTCTCAGTACCCCGATGCAACTGTTAGAAAATAAACTACAGAGTATTACCTCTGTATTGATTAAGAAAGTTTCCTTCTCAGTAGGTACAAATAACATCACAAAGGACATCACAAGGGTCTGGACCAAAAGTAGAATAATTTCAGGCTATTAATAAGGTCCAGACCACTTTAGGCCACTTGCACTCCTCCCCTGAATTCATATCATGCAGCTATTTTTCAGACACATATGTAGTAATACTAAGCCTTTGTGAAGAGGAACAAACATTTAGATAACAGATATGGACAACAAAATTGATGGGAGATTATAACAAGGAGATCGCAAATCTATTTGAGTTTCTGAATACAAAATAATTAGTGATATGAACATAAAACCACACAGCCATATGCTGCAGACCAAGTGTAATTTGCCCAAAATCTTTTTCTTTCCCTCCCTCTACCATTACCCAAATGCCCAAGTTTGTATTATAACATAAGTAAATTTATTGGGGAGGAAGATCAAAAGCGAATCACAGTAGAGAGTACAATCTAGAGGCCAGACACCAGGATCCATTAGGGTTCCTCCCTCCTAGTCCTAAGCAAATGGATCATTCCATGCTGTGGACTAGAGCTCCCCCTAGCTCTTCTAGTTTGGAAGTCCAGGCTCTTCCTCTTCACTTTCTTTGTTCCTCTTGAAGTGTGTGTGTGTGTGTGTGTGTGTGTGTGTGTGTGAAGCCACACTAGGCAAAGCAATGTAGACAAATACATAATCTCATGATCAATTCAATCTACTTGAAAAACACAAAATCACAAATCTAATTTCTCCTTATGTTGGGTTTTTTTTCTGCTTTTTCAGCTTGAACTCTTTATTATTACTTTATCTCTCCATCTCTTTTGCTCTAGTTGGATATGTTTCACTTAATCATACTAGCTGTTTGACTTACTGAGTTCAGTTTGACCTAGCAGGACACCCAGGGGAAATTATTTCTTGGAACTTGCCTGACCAGTTTCTGAATGGAGCCAATAAACTTGCTTTTATTTTACTATTTTCATAATCAATATAAATGGAGTCCTTGGTAATCCTATACATTTTATTTTACACATTTGAAGCCATTATTTTAAGTTGGAATCAATAACCTTTCCTCAGACTACCACAGGGGTTTATGATATCAAAAAGGTTAAGATCCCCTTCATTAGTCTGTAGAAGATTATTTAAATCCCAAAGACCTTGGAATCACAGCATTTTTGAGTCTTCCTACCTCTATATGATAGGATAATTTTCCTAAAAGCACTGAAGAAAGAGAAACTTCCAAATATAACCTTTGACCCATGCTTTGACTCAATGTAAATCATGTAGTATCTGCCTTGATGTCCCTATCTGTAAGATGAAGATGAAATTTGTAATTCTTAAAAGTCCTACATTTGCAATGAGGTTTATCTGCAACATCTAATATCGCATGGTGACTCAAAGCCTACATTCAACATCCATCTATGTATCACTATAGGATATATATGATTTTAAATGTATTGTAGACTTTGACGTGATGTTTTGGAGTCACCTACCCCAACCCACTTATTTTATAAATGAGGAAATAGACGCCCATAAGGCTGAAATAATTTATCCACAGTCAAACACACAGGAAGTAGACCTGGGATTTGAGTCCATATTCCACATCCAGAACTCTTTCTCCAGTATCACACTTTGTTCAGGAAACCTTTCTTTAACTTCTACATGTCATCATAGCCCCTAGAATACTCCATCTAGTATGTACTCAATAAATGTGTGTCAATGGATCAAAATGAAAGGATGTAGCAAGACAATTTAAAAATAAGACTTTAAAAATGACAATTCAGGAAAATCTTCTTTGCCTTGTGACTTTGGATGATTGCTTTACCTCTCAGTTCCTGAGTTTGTTCATTTGTAACCTCAATTTGCTAATATATAATATCAAAGGATTGAACTAAATTGTCTTTCAGCTCTAAAATCATATAAGACCTAAACATTTTCTGTGCTTCAGTGTCCATGGGATGATGCCACAATTCATTGTTATTATAAAAGTTATCTAGGTGGCACAGTGGATAAAGCACCAGGTCTGGAGTCAGGAAGACACCAACGCAAATGTGGTCTCAGACAATTACTGGCTGTGTGACCCTGAGCAAGTCACTTAACCCTGTTTGTCTCAGTTTCCTCATCTGTAAAATGAACTGGAAAAGGAAATGGTGAACACGCCAGTATCTTTGCCAACAAAATTCCAAGATAAAAGTTAACAGAAGTGAAGCATCGAAACTGTTACTTTTTGAATTCAAATTTTTATCATTGTTTTGTTCTTTAAATTTGTTCAACCTATCTCTCACCTTTTGGTTCCAGAAGGCAGTATAATTCCCAGAGATGGAGAAAGGGGAAGGGAGTGGGAAGAGAAATTTCACTTCCTACCCCTGAATCCCTCTCCCTCCACTCTTACCACCCACTCCCCCCACCCAACATATAATACATATACTGCTACTCTTGGTGGAGGGAGCACATGAACAGCAAATTTTTTTTTCATGTTCTAATTTAACATGAAATAACAAAAAAGCTTAACTTAACTTAGAACATTTAGATCCAAGAAACTGTGAATAAAATATTAAAATATTTTGATAAGAATAAGGAGTTTAAATTGGTCTTTGTGAACCACCCTGGGCCTTAGAACAACAACAATGAGTGTGCTCATTGAAATTATGCATGAAAAGTCATTGAAATTAAATATATATTTCTTATTTTTGGATCTTTTAGACATGTAATTGTAATTATCTGTGATTGCAATTGTCTGTGTACTTTGGCATCTTCCTTTGTAAGGATTTTTGCTGACAATATATCTATGTACTTTAACAGAGGAAAGATGGGTCAGAACGGACAAGAGCCGGCAAAACAGCCAGGAGTAGGATTAACAGATGCAGAAGGTAAATTAAAATTCAGAATTATAATCTACATATAATATTTTAAATGTTTTTATTTTAAATTGTAGATATATAAGGATTATCTTTGATCCAAAGGTAAAATGGTGATTCCTTACATCCTTTTTTTTTAAACCAATAAGTAAGACTAACTTCGTAGTTTCACATCACATTTTCCGTATTTCAGCAATCATTTCAACTCAGTGCCTTCTGAGAACTGGAAATTCAAAATGCAAACTCCATAGCATGTCATGTTAGCACTTTTGCCCCCCCTATCTTTCCTGCTCTCCCCCTCTCCATTCTGACTGGATGGTACAAGCATGGAAATCTCTTTCTAAGTCAATACTAGATCTGTGTGTAGTATCAGGACACTTTGAAGAAGGCTCTTAAAAGCAGATAGAAAATCTTTTGAAAGAAGAAATTTATTTCAAATTGAATTCTGCCTTGAAATAGAGAATGGCCAATAAAATATCCTTTTCTAATTTTTATGGAAATGCAAAATTACATATTTAAAAAAAAATCATCCACTCAATGACTTATATGTTCTTAATGTTTCTCATTGTGTTTTGTTTTGTTGAGTAATTTTTTAAAAAAATCATTGTGTGGGGATATTGTGTCCCTTATAGTCTTACCACCTATTTAACCTCACCTAAGTCTTCTCTTTATTTTGAAATAGAAATTATCATGGGAAGCTATTTGTTGTAGTACAAATAGAAAAGACTGAGAGGTAAGAGACCTGGATTATTAGTGATCTTGGCTCTACCACATACCACCTGTGTGACTTTGAACAAGTTCTTTATCCTTTGTGGGCCTTACTTTCATCATTTGTAAAATGAGGGAGGAAGAATAAATTATCCTTATGGTCCCTCCAAGTTAGACTCTAGGATGCTTCTAGATAGAAACTTATGACATCACTATTTAAAAATAATTTGTGACCAATCTGACACTTTTTTTTCCTGAAGACAAACTGACATATGATTCCCATAATCCACAGATTCAATATGAATTGGTGTTAGTAATGAAGTACTGAGTATTGAGGAAAATACATATTTGATTATACCTTATTTTAGAAACTTTGACTTTATAAGAAAACTATTTTTAATGTAAATGTTAGCAGCTGTCAATGAGGAAAAACTGTTCATCCTACTATGGATCTCTTCTTTCTTTCCCACACAAAATATGTTTATTTTTCTAGAGTAATACAATCATAGGACATTTGACATTTTATTTAGAATTGACTCAATCGTTTGCTATTTTTTGCTTACTTATCCTGACCAGAGATTAATCTTGAATTAGTTATTCAACAGAGGGTTACATAGGGAGGTGATAACAGCAGTGAGCAATAATATCATATAGTTAATTAGTATTGCATGCCTTATGGTAATACTCTTTTGGCCAATCTCTTTGTTTTGATTGGATCGTTCTATCAGTCAATCAAAAAAACATTTATTAAGTGGTTACTATGTGCCAGGCATTGTGCTAAGTGACAGAAATACAAATATGAATAAGAGTTTGTGTCCCTAGGAGTTTACAAGCTAATGGGAAAAGACAAAACATACAAGCAAACTGAAAAAAAAATAGGGGTGAAATGGAGAGGGGGAACTGAAATGGGGGCATGATAGAGTCCATTCCATAGAAGTGCAACTGGATATGAAATAAAGAGATGGATGGCCTGGGAACCATCTTTAAATGGAAGTTTTATATTCATGCCTAGTGCCTCATCATCATGTATGGATGTGACTTGATAGTCTTAAAGACTATGGCAATAAAGTAAAGTCTCTTACAGCGGGAAATGGCCCATATGCCTATTGCCCAAGGACCAGCCTGGCCAAATTCAGATAGAATCAGTCATGGAATACTAGTCACCAAAGCATGACATTTTTTTTCTGTTTACAACTCACCAATATCATTGATTAAGACATGTAACTTGTGTTGCTGGAGCGGTTATCTACAATGAAGCAAATATTAATCTATGATAAATTGAAATATTCATGTGGTCTTTGTAGCACCTTGGATATAGTAGGTGCATTTGTTATTAATTCATGACAAACCTTATACTCTTCCATGACTAAGTTTCTGTTCCCCACCATGTCTGTTTTGTTCTTTCTTTTATGTTCCTCAAAGCAACCTATGCCACCTCTACCCCTCTCCCTCTCAGCAGAGGACCAAGAAAATTGAGGCCATTCATTTGAAACCTCCTTTCTTCCTAGCTTTAAACTTCAAATTCCTCCAATATTATCTTTCATTCTCTCCTCCTACACTTTAATCAGTCTCTGATAAAAAAAATTTCTCTCATTGCTAAAGCAAAACCTTCTACTTACTTGATCCCATTTCCTGCCATCTCCAGGAGTTTGTGCCTCAGATAATTCCTTCTGCCTTTCTAATCTTAAATCTCTCTTTATCCACTGGCACTCTACCTGCTATTAACATACATGCCTAGATCTCACCCATCCTGATAAAGAGAGAGAAAGAGAGAGAGAGAGAGAGAGAGAGAGAGAGAGGACCCTGTTATATCTTCAAATTTCATCCTATACCTCTCCTTACTTTCACAACCAAAATCATTAAAAAAAAATAGTTATAATGACTGCCTCCATTTCTTCATCTTCCATTAACTTCTCACCATCTTGCAATCTGGCTTTTGATACCACACTTAAGTGACATTGTGCTCTTTAAGGTTATTAATAATCTCGGGGGCAGCTAGGTGGTACAGTAGATAAAGCACTGGCCCTGGAGTAGGGAGGACCTGAGTTCAAATCTGGCCTCAGACCAGACACTTGACATTTACTAGCTGTGTGACCCTGAGCAAGTCACTTAAACTCAACTGCCTAAAAATAAAAAAAATAAAAATAAAAAGGTTGTTAATAATCTTGTATCACTAAGTGTAATGGCTTTTTCTCAGGTCTTATACTTTTTTACCTTTCTGCAGCATTTAATAATTTGTACCAACCCCTTCTCCAAAATACTTTTGTTCATCTGGATTTTCATGACATTCTTCTCTCCTGACTCTTCTCCTACCTGTACTTTCTCAGATCCTTTTACTAGATCATCATCTGTGTCCCATCTGTTTCTGTGGATATATTCTGGGGCTCTTTTTTCCCCTACATTTTCCTTTTGTGATTTCGTTAACTTCCATGAGTTCAATTGTTATCTCTATGCAGATGATTCCCAAATACATATTTCCAGCACTCACCCTTTTCCTGAACTGCAGTCTCACTGCACCAACTACCTGCTGAATATCTCTGTCCCATGTGTATCTCAAACCAAACATTTCCAAACTAAAACACATTCCCTCCCTCTCTCCCAATCAAAACCTGCCCCTCTACTTAATTTCCATATTTCTATAATGGCACTATCATGCTTCCAGAAATCCAGCTTCATAGCCTTGGAGTCATCCTTATTTTGTTTACTCTCTCTTGTTTACTCCATCTCCCTCCTTCAATATCCAATCTGCTGCCAATTTTTTTCGATTCTCCTTTCATTACATCTTTCATGACTAACCTTTCCTAGCCCCTTCTTTTTACTCCTATGGCCACCTTCTGGAGTTCAGTCTCTTATCATTTCATCTGGACTATGGTAATAGTTTTTTTGTTTTTTTTTTGTTTTGTTTTTTTGCAAGGCATTGGGGTGAAGTGACTTGCCCAGGTTCACACAGCTAGTAAGTGTCAAGTGTCTGAAGCCATATTGAACTCAGGTCCTCCTGACTCTAGGGCCAGTGCTCTATCCACTGTGTCCTCTAGCTGCCCCATGGTAATAGTTTCTTAATGCATCATCCTGTATCTCATCTATCCCCTCACCTTTCCTCCACACAGCAACCATATTAATATTCCTAAATTCCAGGTGTGATTATTGTCATTCCTCAATTTAATAAGTTTCAATGGATTCCTATTGAATCTAGGATAAAATGCAAACTTTTGTGGTGTTTTAAAACTTTAACAATCTGGCTTCAATCCAGTTTCCAAAATGATTTCTCATTACTCCTCCTCATAAACTGTATGTCCCAGGCAAACTCTATTATCTGTACATAGAGTTACTTCTTTCATGCCTTTGCTCAGGCTGTCTCTTCCTCTCCTGGAATGGCTTCCATCCTCCCCTTCACCTCTTAGAATCCCTAATTCCATTCAAGAATCAGTTCAAAAGCTACCTCCTACATGAGAATTTCCTTGATCCCCTCAGTAGTTAATGCTAGCTCTACTTCCAAAATTACTTTGCGTATGTAAGCATTTGAATTCCTTGATGGCAAGGAATATCTAATTTTATTTTTATATCCCCAATGTCAACTTAACACAGAGCTTAGTAAATAGTTGGCACTTAATAAATGCTTATTGAAATGAATCAAATTATAAATATTCATTGAATTGGTAGAAACCAAATGATCATTTACATATCGATGTGTAGTTGAACAATCTTTCAAGATGTATAAATATATTATTTGCATTCTTATGGTTATGTAAGTTACCAGAAATTATAATCATTAAAGAATATAGTTTAATTTAAAAGTATGCATTAATAGGAAATATATAAAGAAGGCTGATTGACTAGCAGCAATTTTACTTGAAGAAGATGAAATACATAGTAAAATTGCATGAATAGGAACTTAATGAAATATTAAGTGATAATAAACTTCATTCTCATGATAAATAAGGGTTAAAATTGAGAAAATAATTTGGGACCATACCGGTCAAGAAACAACTTCACCTAAAATAGTTTGACAATTGAGGTGATAATGCATTATCCATCTTTACTTTTGGTGAAGTAAAATTGCATTTCATTATTTCAAGAGATTTGCCTCCATCCTTTCCTTGACTTTAGCTGTTTCTAAAATAAAACAAATACAACAACCACTCATCTGGTGAGGGGGTGGGGCTAGGGAGTGGGTGGGAGTAAGAGAGAGCAGGTCAGAAAACAACCAGCTGCTGAGTGACTTTTTCACTTTTTCAACTAATTATGGCATCCTATAGACTTGAAGAACAGTCAGAAAATCTCTATTGCTCAAGAAAGAAGCTGAA